ATTCTTCCTTCCTCCATTCTTCCTTCCCTCCTTCTTTCCTTCCTTCTATTCTTCTTTCCTTCCTTCCTTCATCTCTTCTTGCTTCCTTCCTCTAGCCTTCCTTCCTTCCTTCTATTCTTCCTTCCTTCCTCTATTCTTTCTCCCTCTCTCCCTCTATTCTTCCTTCCTTCCTCTATCCTCCCTCCCTCCCTCCCTCCCTCCCTCCCTTCCTTCCTCTATCCTCTCTTCCTTCCTCTATCCTTCCTTCCTTCCTCTATCCTTCCTCCCTCCTGGATGCATGGGAGTTGCAAGCAGCCCCCTCCCCTCTACAGATCCGGGCCGTCCTAGAGCAAAGCCCTCAAAGGACCCCATGGGGTTGTGGGGGGGGGGGGCGGCTGGTGTGGCTGCCTGGCTGGCAATTTGTTATTTTCTCAGTAAACACGTCCCTGTCTTTGTAATTATTGTGATTAAATGCCTGCCGGGAGGAGCCCCGCCCCGCTGCCCGGCCCTGCCAAGCCCAGCCCAGCCCAGCCCTTCCCCGCCTGCTTTTCTGGTGCAACAGGTGAATCTCTCCACCGCAAAGGGCCGCCCCGCCCCCCTCCCCCTCCCGCAGCCCAGCGGGGCTCTGCGCGGCCTGGGAGCGCCCGCCGGCCCCGCTGCTGCCCCTCCCGCAGCCGCTGCCCCCCACGCTCTGCCCCCCGAGGGAGGGTCTCAATCCCCCCAGGCCGTGGCTGCCCCAAAGGGGCTTTTCCTCCAAACGGCGACGGGACTTCCTCGGTTTTTCCTTGAAGACGCTTCGCTTCTCGCCCAGGAAGCTTCTTCGGTTCTCCAGAAAGCGAAACGTTTTCAAGGAAAAAACCAAGAAAAGTCCAGGGGGGAAAGGCACCGTTGGGGGGTGCAGAGCGGAGGGACCCCAGTCCTCGCCCAGCTTCCTCCCCAGCCCTGCTGGCCTTTCTCAAGTGCTGCTGCAGGGCAGCCCTGGATTTCCACGCCGCCGAGGGGAGGGGGTTGCAGAATGGGGGGGGGGTCCGACCGAGAGGAGGAGCTCAAGAGGGGGTGGGGGTAACGCCACGAGTGGGACGACCCCTCTGACAGACAGACAGACCATTTTTTCACAAGCAAATCTAGTCATTAAGACATAGAAACTAGGAGACTGGGAGTTCTAGTCCTTCCTTAGGGATGAAAGGCTTCTCGATGATCTGGCACCGATCACCAGGAGATGATGGTGAATTCTAGTCCCACCTTAATCACACAAAAGGCCACTGGGTGACTTTGGGCCACTCACTAGGAGATGGTGAATTCTAGTTCCACCTTAGCCACGAAAGCCAGCTAGGTGTCTTTGGGCCAGCCCCCCCCCCTCAGCCCAACTCCCAGGGTTGCTATGGGGAAAATAAGGGGGGGGGAGGAGTATTAGGTAAGTTCACCACCCTGATTTATTTATAAAGCCAAGAAAGGGAGGGATATAAATATCAAGGAGAGGAGAAAGTCACTTGGGGGGGTTTAGCAGCTTAACTGTCTGTTGGGGAAGGAAGAGAATAAAGTTTTCTAACTGCAAAGTCTCGCATCCTCTTCGCTGGCAGCTGTGCCCAGCTGTGGATGCGAGTGGGGTCCTTGCCTGCAGGCGTCAAGCTGCTCATAATTGGATAAAGAAAGAAAGAAAAACCTGTTGGTTTGTCATTTCAAAAGAGACGGAGGGAAAAGGTTTCCTGGGATCCTGAATAAAAGAACTGGGATAGTTGATTCTGGCAGCAGAAAGTCAAGAGGAATCCAAGGCCTTTTAAAGCTCCCTCACACGGGGATGCAGTGGAGGAAATTTGGCAAGTCAGGGGAGCTCACTTCATTCAAGGAAACAGAGCGGGGTGGGGGGTGGGGGTGTTTCCAAACCTTGCCAGCTTTAAAACGTGTGGACTTCAACTCCCCAAATCCCCCAACCAGCAGAGGCAGGAGTGGAAATCCACAGGTCTTAAAGCTGCCAAGTTTGGAGACCCCTGGAATAAAGGATTGAGATCAATTGGTGGGGAGGAGGGGAGGGGGCTTGGTTTACTTCCTCCTAAAGCACAAACATTGTATTTGAGGGGTCTTTGTTAGGGTGGGTGATCATTACTGGTTTTAAAAAATCTTGCTTTCTCTCTCCTAGTCTATCGTCTATCATCTATCCATCCATCATCTATCTCACTTTCTATCTATCTATCTATCTATCTATCTATCTATCTATCTATCTATCTATCTATCTATCTATCTATCTAT